GGGGCCACTCCTCTGTCTGGGCATGGCACAAAAGGCCTTGGAGGGTAGCTAGTCTGGCATTGTCAGATGTCCAGTGTGACAGTCACAGAGTGTGCATGGTGACGTCAAATCCTGGTGAATAGATATGAGGCTTTGAAACCTCACCATGGCTTCTTGTGCCAGCCAACTGTTCTCTCTCTGTGATGGGGCCTGCAGGTTGAGCCCTGCGGCATCTGAGATGAACAGTGCCATTGACCCACAATGTTCTTACAGGCACACCTACTTCCCCAAGGACCACAACAGGACCAACTTCACCCACCACAAGACCACCCTCCACATCCACCCCTACGTCCTTCACTGTGTCAGGATCCACCACGGAAACCACACCAACTACTTTGGAGACCACCAGGACCTCTTCTTGGGGCACAATCTCCTCAGTCTCCCCAATCACCTCTCCCATCACTGACTGGACCAGTGTTGGCACCTTGGTTACCTGCTGTGTTTTGAATGACACGTACTACGGCCCAGGTATCCACGGTGTTTATGTCTAATGTTTACAAAGCTCAGGCTGTTCCCTGCTCTTTCTAGTGAGTAGAACTAGGGTCAGACCCCAACTTGAAGCTTGCTCAGGAGGCTTGATGCTGGTTATAGGTAGATTTTTTTGTGGTCAGCTTCACCTTACTTGGAACGTGAACCAGAGGTTAGGGTTCTTCCCAGGCCAGGAGAACAAGTAGGGTGGGTCTTAGTCTGTTTTCTGTTATAACAAAATACTTGAGGTCAAATGATTTATAAATAATAGGAGGTCATCCAGCTCACAGTTTCAGAGGCTAGGAAGTACAGTAACATGGCCCTGGCACCTGGTCATCCAGCTGATGGTTCCAGAGGCTAGGAAGTAACATGGCACGGGCACCTGATGGTTTCCTCATTCTGCATCAGGCTATGACAGATGTGCCGGCTCTGGTCTTTTGTCTTCTTCTTGCAATGCCACTAATGTCACACTAGGGGGCTTACCCTCATACCTCATCTAACTTTAGTCTTCTCCCCTAAGTACCCTCCTCTAGGACAGTGAGTCCCTCTCCACAGCCTCCATGGAGTCGATCAGTGTGTTTTCGTGGCTAGCTCTGCCTCTGGATGGTGTAAAGACTGAGTCCTTCTCTTCCCTTTTAGGTGAACTGGTCTACAACAAAACCTATGGGGACACTTGTTATTATGTGTACTGCTCTGTGAACTGCACAATTGAATTCTTCAATTCGTCCTGTCCATCTACTCCCTCAACTTCTACACCATCAACACCAACGTCCTCCCTGACGACCACACCCTCCACACCATCTACCACATCTTCAAAGTCTACACCCTCCACACCCACCACACCAAAATCCACATCATCCAAGTCAACAACCAGTACACCAACCACAACCTCCACCCCTGGGTGGTGCCTCGACTTTGATCCTCCTAGACAGGTCAGTGGGTAATATATGGTGTTGTTACCCTGACACTGAACAGGTCCATGTCTGGGCATCTACCATCTGAATGATATCCTTCCTGGTTGTTCAAGATGCCCATGTTCCCACACCCTGCATCTTCTCCAGTAGGGCTGATATTTCCCCAAACATCATGGGCTTAGGGTCCACTGGCCTTCTCTCTTTTCCCCATATCCTGACTTTCTTCTCCTCATATTAACCTCCTTAAGCTCCATCCCTGAATGGGTCCTATCCTCTTGTGTAGACTGGGGAAGCTAAGAGGGGCTGCCTGCTGACTGGTCCGTGCCCTCTGTCCCGTAGGAGAATGAGACCTGGTGGCTATGTAACTGTACCATGGCCATTTGCAAACATGACAACGTAGTGGAGCTTGTGGAGCGGAAGTGCGACCCCCCACCCATGCCCACCTGTTCCAATGGCCTGAAGCCTGTGCGTGTCATTGACCCTGATGGCTGCTGCTGGCACTGGGAGTGTGACTGTAAGGCCTTACTATCTGAGGATATGCCTGCCAGGGTCCTTTCTTCTTTGGTACCAGTAGCAGCAGGGCTAGCCTCTTGGGAACAGACTTTGATTGCTAAGCACCTGCTGTAGGCTGTGCAGGCTTAGGGACTTCTCAATACCCTTTATGTCTCCCTGGGTAGGAGGGGGTAGATAGAAGTCTTGGCTGGTGGGGGGGCAGAGGCACCTTTCTGAGCAAGGATGCTTCTGAGGTTAAGAGTGACCTTCTGACTCTAAAGCAAGGCCTCAGCCTGCAGAAGAGGGGGTGTGTCTCTAGACCAACTGGGAAGATGCTTTTAGAAGATCTGCTCCAGCTTGGATATCCCTAGTGGCTCAATGTAGGGGCCAGGATTTTCAGACTCCTTTAGTGACTGCTGGCTTTTCCAGCCTGTCCCTTGAATCCTGGATGGCATCAACTTACAGAGCTTCTTCCACAGGCTACTGCACCGGCTGGGGGGACCCTCACTTTGTCACCTTCGATGGGCTCTACTACAGTTACCAGGGTAACTGCTCCTATGTGCTGATGGAGGAGATTATCCCCACGGTGGACAACTTTGGGGTCTACATTGACAACTACCATTGTGATGACAGTGACGTGGTATCCTGCCCCCGCACACTAATTGTGCGTCATGAGACCCAGGAAGTGCAGATCAGGACTTTGCAATTGATGCCCATCGTGGTGCAGGTATGTGGCTGGGACTGGTTGGGCAGCCAAATGTGTCTCTCATGGCCTCATCATACTGTGGGCCCCAGGCGACAGAGGATTAGGCTGCGGATTCACCGGACCAGGCTGGACCCACGGCACATTAGAGCCTCCTTAGGGTCATGTCAGCTCTTCTCATGGGCTCTCTAAGTGAGCACAGAAACCTCCTCTCTAAGGATAAGTGAACAGGAAGTGGCTGTGTCTAGCTGAGTCTTCTCTAGCCTTGCGTCATTGGTGATATGGGTGGAGACATCTGAGGAGCCCTGAACCTTTCGAGGAGCCTCAAAGTCTCTGGGAAGAGCCTTCTTTGGTATCTCCTAGGATGAGCTGGGACAAACATTTGTCCTGGTGTGGTGGAAAGGAAGCAAGAAGGGAAGGGAAAGTGGTAAGGGGCAGGAAAAGCTCCCCTTTCAGATAGGGGTGAAGATAACCTAGGTGCTATCCCCAGGTACAACTCGGCCTGCTTGATGAGCTATCTGACTTCCAGAGAGGACAGTGGTGGGACAGAGCGGGGCAAGCCTCAAGCATGTGGCAGCCTCTTGTTCCAATCTCAGAGGCCCTCCCTGACTCAGACATGTTGACTACAGGTACAGGTGAACAAGCAGGTAGTGGCTCTGCCCTACCAGAAGTTTGGGCTGCAGGTATATGAATCTGGCATCAACTATGTGGTGGACATCCCCAGGCTGGAAGCTCAGATCACCTACAATGGCCTGTCTTTCTCCATCCGGCTGCCCTACCACCTGTTTGGCAACAACACAAAGGGCCAGTGTGGTGAGTTCCCTCAGCCTCTTTCCTTGGAGGGCAAGGCTGGGTGTGAGCATCTGTCGCCTAGCTGTGGGTTCTCCACTCCTCTGTGGACAGGCACTGTGGCATTCTCTTGTGTTTGGTCCCTGTGAGAAGCCATCAGATGTTAGCTTGACTTTGAATTTTCCCTCTTGCCTGGCCAGTGGGGCACAGGGAGCCTGAGCTGGAGAAGGAAAGGTGCCAGGACCCGACCTGGGTCTGATAGTGTGTCTTGGTGCTGGCTTGATGGGTGGCTTCTCTGTGCACAGGCACCTGCACCAACGATACCGCAGATGACTGCATCCTACCCAGCGGGGAGATCATCTCCGACTGTGAGGTTGCTGCTGACGAGTGGTTGGTGAACGACCCCTCCAAGCCACACTGTCCCCACAGCAGCTTCACCACCAAGCGCCCAGCCATCACGACAGCAGGGTTCTCGCCACCCGAGAACTGCACTGTGTCTCCTATCTGCGAGCTCATCAAGGGCAGGTGAGCTGTGGGAAGTGGAGAAGTGGAGGCAAGAGGATCAGGACAAGCCTAGACGGTTGAGATCCTATCTCAGAAAATACAGGGTCTCATGAGGTCTCATCTCTCTGTTGTCCCTACTGTCTACCAAGTGGGCAGAGCAACCTGTGTGAGGGCCTGAGAGAGCTGGGGTTGTCACTGTGGATGGGTGTCAGATCCCAGGGGACCTCAGGACCTGGCTTCTGTTTTCCCAGACCCTAGCTGTCCTCTCTGACATCCCCTACCCCAGCACTTTTCTTTGCTCTCAGATGCCCCGCACCTTCTGGCCAGGTGCCGGCTCAGGTGAGCTGGAGACCCTGAGTAGATCAACTGATCAGACAGCATTAGCAGATCAGCAAGATGGGTTTGAGCTTGGACACAGGTCAGGAACTCCTAAATCTGGTAGCCACAGGAGGACATTCCCTGTCCCTGTACGTATTTGAGGTCAAAGCTAGGTAACCCTCTGGCAGGATTGTTGGAAGGGGACATCCTGGCAACCAGCGACCGTTCAGGTGTGCAGAGTACATCTCTGCACGCCAGACAACATAGGCACATGTCCTTCTTTTTCTAGGTGCCAGCACTTTCTGTGTTCTGCGACTGGTAGCATAGGGCCTCTTTGGCAGGGGCCTCTGAGCAGGCTCCAGCAGGACAAGGGGAGGCCAGGGAAGCATGTGGCGAGGCCGGGGTGCTGACTAGAGTGTGATCTATCTCTCCCTGCATAGTCTGTTCTCTGAGTGCCACCCCTTCGTGCCTCCCAAGCACTACTATGAAGCCTGCCTGTTTGATAGCTGCTTTGTGCCTAACTCTAATTTGGAGTGTGCCAGTGTACAGGCCTATGCAGCCCTCTGTGCCAAGGAAGGTACCTGCATTGACTGGCGGAACCATACTCAGGGGGCCTGCTGTAAGTACTGCTCGTCTCTCCCCGTGTACTGCCCGTGCTGGGGATCTGGGGGTCAGGCAAGGGTACTGGGCAGCTCCCCATCCTCGGCTTGCATGGGTTGAAGTCCTAGGAAGGAAGGGCTGGGTAGCTTTGTCACTCCAGGGAGGGGCAGTCTTGTCTCTCTCGGTATGACCTTCCTGATTCTTGCGCCCGTCCTGCAGCTGTGGAGTGTCCAGCCCACAAGGAGTACCAGGCCTGTGGCCCTGCAGAAGAACCCACTTGCCAGTCCAGGTACGCTGCCTGAAGACTCCCACTGGTTTCCTAGTCCTGCGCATGCAGTCCAGTCAGCTTTAGCCCCCTGCCAGAGCTGTGCCCCAGCCTACACCGCTCCTTCCTTCTGAACGTGTGTCTTACCATTCCAGCTCCTTGCAGAATTCCACAATCTTGGTGGAAGGCTGCTTCTGTTCTGAAGGCACCACGAAGTTTTCCCCTGCCATTGATGTCTGTGTGAAGACTTGTGGTATGTCTCCTACTTCTGCCCCCTTCCTGTTCCTCTGTGTCTACAGGGGCAGGGCCAGAAAGCACATCTCAGTTCCTTATAATATCATGACAGTGTTAACAGAATTTGTTTCCCTCTCTTCCTAGGCTGTGTGGGACCCGACAATGTGCCCAGAGAGGTAGGTTTCCCCTTGTGCTGGGAGAATTCTCCCTAAAATCCTGAGCCATGTAAGTCCTGGGTGAGATCCACCCACTCATCCATCTGCCCATTGGTGCATCTATCCATCAGTCCATTACCTTGAGCTGTCCGTCTTCCATTTAACCGTCTATTATTATCCATTTATCCATCTATTCACCCATCCACTCACCTATCCATTATCCATTCAACCACCATCAATCTATCCAATACCCACCCATAATCCATTCATCTATTCAAACTATTCATCTGTATATCCATTTATTAGTTATCCATGTAATCACCTATTCATCATTCATCTATCTTTCATCCCATCCATTATCCATTTGTTATCTATCCATCCATTCATCCAGCCAGCCAGCCATCATCCACCTATTCATATTCATTAATCTATCCTCCATTCATCCATCCATCCTCCATTCATTCACTAATTCATTATCCATTCACCTATTCCACACCCACAAATATATCCAACCACCCAACCATCTGAACTCTTCATCCTCCATTCATCTATCTGCTATCTATCCTTCCAATCACTATCTACCATCCATCTATTTTTCATTCATTTATCCATTTACCCACCTTCTAATCCATCCATGACCTACCCATTCATCCATCTATTCATTATCCACCAATCCAAAAACCTATCCATTACCCATCCATCCTTTACCCAAGCATATACCCATCTATCGTCCATCCATCCATTGATCCACCCAACTACCCATACACTATCCATCTATGCAACAACCATCAATCCATCATCCATTCATCTTTCTATCTTCCCAATCATCTACTCATCCATCAAACCATCCATTCATCTATTCACCCATCCGCTCACCAGTCATATACTCTGACTAAACGTGGGATAGCATGTTGCCTTCTTCGGTGCTGTTTCCTGTGTGTGCTCACAGTCATTGGTTGACTCTTTAGCTCAATTAAAAAATCAGTAGACAATGTGTGGTGTGTCCGATGCATACCAGGAGGATGTTGGTGGACCCTGGTGAGCAAGTCACATCTGTGTGATATCAGTGGCCTTGAATGAACAGGTGCTGGGCTGTCCCTGAACCTTCCCTATGAGTTCAGTGGTGATGAGGGATAAGGCTTTCTCACTTGATCCCTCACCTGGCTACCTGGTCCAGCTCGTTTCTCCCTGGCTGGCCATGGAAGTGTCATAGTAGGGCTAATGTGGTGTTAATCTGATCTTTTCTCTTTGCAGTTTGGAGAGCACTTTGAGTTTGACTGCAAGGAGTGTGTTTGCCTAGAGGGTGGAAGTGGCATTGTCTGCTCTCCAAAGAAATGTGCTGGGGAGAACCTGACCACATGCGAGGAGGATGGCACCTACCTTGTGGAAGAGATCGACCCAGCAGACACGTGCTGCAACATCACCTCATGTAGTAAGAACACCCCTGGGGCATGGAAGCCATTCTCAGACCACTATGGCTCCTAGTGTAACTGAGCTTGCCTGCTGTAGGTGAGGTTTCCTGTCCCCATGCCCCCCCCCCACAATGGTTAACTCAGGTTATACTCACTTGAGAGGGGAGTGGGATGCAGGCCAGGAGCCCCAACTCCAAGTCCTGGTCTTGGTGGGCTCCAAAGGGGCCTGGATTCATGCTCTGCAGTAGGAGGTGGTGCTCTGCCTGTGTGATCTGTCCTGGTCACCACACTCTTGCTCTGCCTTCAGAGTGTGACACCAAACTCTGCAAAGAAGAACCCCCGTCTTGCTCGCTGGGATTCGAAGTCAAGAGCGAGAGTGTTTCTGGAAAATGCTGTCCAGATTACTCCTGTGGTAAGTGATGCCAGCCGGGCAAGGGAAGGTCACAGGTGGGACAGGCTGTGAACAACAGGCGGGGCAGGCTGTGAACAACAGGCGGGGCAGGCTGTGAACAACAGGCGGGGCAGGCTGTGAACAACAGGCAGGGCAGGCTGTGAACAAGGGGTCAGCGGAGGGAGCATGCGTTCTCCTTGTGTGTCTTTATCACGGCTATGGCTGTGCATCCACCCAGCCCTGAGCCTGCTTAGATTGTGTGCCAGGCCGAGGCTGGATGGCTTCTGATAGCTTTTCCCACTCTTTTTTCCCCCCAAGTACCCAAGGGTGTGTGTGTGCACGAGAATGCTGAATACCAGGTGAGTTCTGAACTGGGAGGGGACAGGGAGGATGGGTGGCTTTGTCTGTCTCCTGAAGATGGAGTACGCATGGGTGATGGTGTGTGCGGCCCCTTTACTACTCTGCCTGTTCCTAAAGCCTGGATCTCCAGTGTACTCCACCAAGTGCCAGGACTGTGTGTGCACCAACTCCACGGACAACGTCACCCAGGTCAACTACATCTCCTGTACGCATGTGCCCTGCAGCAGCTCCTGCAGCCCTGTAAGTGTGGTTCCTCCCTTCCTCCCCTTTTCCTGCCTCAGTTGACCTTCTTCCCATCTTCAAAGAGGCACATGGTTCCATGTTCATTTTCATGATTTGCCTTCAATCAAAAAAAAAAAATCTTCCTTGCTGAACTGTGCCTCCCACCATGACGCTTGTTCCCTGTGCGTGCAAGCCTGCCCCCAAGTGGGGTGTTTCAGCGATCCCAGGACCTGGCTGATTGCAGGGACAAGTCTTTGACCTCAGCCTTGTCCTCTCCTGTGTCCACAGGGCTTTGAGCCTGTGGAAGTCCCTGGGGAGTGCTGCAAGAAATGCCAGCAGACTCACTGCATCATTGAGAGGCCAGGCCAGCAGTATGTCATCCTGAAGGTGTGTGTTCATGGGCAGGGGGCGGTGCTCTAGGCTCCACCCATGAGCTTGTCAGTTCCTGGGCTTGAGACATCCCAGGTCCCATACAGCTTGGTATGACTGACCATATTTGGGTGGCTGCTCCACTTTTGGAGCTCTGAAGTCCGGGTTCAAGGCTGGCAGAAGCTGTGAGGAGTCTTCCTGCCTCCTCTTCTTCAGACTCCAGGTGTCTGGTTGTGTTTGTATCATCTCTGACTTGGTCTCCATGTAGCAGCCTCCCTTCCATCTGAGTCCATGTCTCCTCTGTGTCCTTGCAAGGATGCTCATCCTTGATGTAGGATGACCTCATCTACAGATTCTTTCCTTGAGATTTTCAAAGACCCTTTTCCTGTTCAGAGTCACTTCCTAGTTCATAGGTTAGACCTAGGTTAGAGATTTTTATGCGGTGTAACCACAAGCAGGTAAGTTCCTGTCTCCAAGACTGTCTTGTGGATGTCACTTGCCCAGTGACTATTGCCTGTCAAGCGGTACCTCCCAGGTCTTCTGGGGCTGGCCTCTGGTACTTGCTCATCCTCATTCTAACTGTGTTGTGTCCACAGCCCGGGGACATACAGAAAAACCCCAGCGACGACTGTACCTTCTTCAGCTGCTTGAAAATCCACAACCAGCTCATCTCCTCTGTCTCCAACATCACTTGCCCCGACTTCAACCCCGATGACTGTGTTCCGGTGAGTGGGATCCCTCTGGCACTGTGCTCTGCCTGATGCACCAGCTGCCTGGCTTCCGGGAGGCTTTTCTATACCCTCCTATAGGACAGCTCTTATGCACCCCATGAAGGGGCACTCACCTTTTGAGGGTGCTCTGGGCTTCCCTCACTCTCTTCTTTCTCTTCAGGACTCCATCACGTACATGCCAAATGGCTGCTGTAAGACCTGTGAGTACAGCTGGCGGAACAGGGTGGTGGGCGGGCTTTACCAGACCCTGGGCAGGAAGACACCAGGGCAGGGCACCTCGGGACTCTTGTTCCTACTGTGTCTCCTGTACTTTAATTCCCTTTCCAGGAAGGGGCTCATTTCCTTAAAGAACAGTGAGACTGGGAGTTAAGGGATAGCCATGCTGGGAGAGAGGTGAAAAACAAGCACAGTAGAGGAAGAGGGAGAGGGAGAGAGAAAAAGAGATCATGAGCCAGTCTTAGACCACCCCTGCATTTTCATCTCCTCCACAGGTATCCCTAAAAACCACACAGCAGCCCCTTGCTCTCTCATCCGTGTCAAGAAAGAGATTTCCTACAATGGCTGCACCAAGAATGTCTCCATGAACTACTGTTCGGGCTCCTGTGGGACTTTCGCCATGTGAGTCTCAGGCTGCAAGTGCGAGATGGAGGGGTGGAGGAGCTCAAGGACAGGGCCCGGTGAGGGAGGGAGGCTGCTGCTGCTGCTCCCAGGGAGGCTGGCACTCATTCTGCCCTTCCTGTCCCCAGGTACTCTGCCCAGGTCCAGGATCTGGATCACAGGTGCTCTTGCTGCAAGGAGGAGAGGACCAGTGAGCGCCAGGTGACCCTGGAATGTCCAGATGGCAGCGAGCTGAGCCATACCTACACGCACATTGAGAGCTGTCTGTGCCAGGACACCGTCTGTGCGCTCCCCCAGGCCCAGCAAGTCCGCGTCAGGCGTTCCAGTCCCCGACTTCTGGGAAGGAAGTGAAGGGGTTCTACCGTGTTCCTCCCTTCCCGTCTCGCACCACGCTGCTGACCCTCTGAGCTCCCTCCTCTTCTAGCTTGACTTCTTCTCTGCAGATATTTATTTTCAGAGTTTCTGTTCCATCCCTTGCTTTATGATAATAAACTCAGGCATAGCCACTCTGGTCGTGTGGTTTAAGTTGGTTCTGCAAGGATCTGAACTGTTCACTTCTGGGAACTGGGTGGGTGGGGCTAGATAGTTTGGAGAGGGTTCCTTGGGACCCTTGGGGTCCAGTTACTGCTTTTTGCACTCCAGACACAATGCAACTCTACCACCTGTATTACTTACCGCTAGGCTCTGGGCTCTGTTTGTTCAGAGCACTGGGTGAACAAAGGCCCCTTCCCACCATGAATGAAAAAGCCCTCAAGTTCCTTTCCAGGGTTTTCCACTATGGGTGAGACTTTTGTCCACATGCTGTGGGGACAGTGTGTGTTGAGGTGTGAGTACACAAGTGTGCATGCACACAAGTGTGTTTCCATCTGTCTGTGCCTGTGGGTTGTGTGTGTGTCACTGAGGAGGCCTCAGGCCACAGACTAGGGGCAGGGCATGGGCTTCTGCCACCAACTGAAAGAAAAGCAGTGGTAACTTTGTGGACTGTGTTGTTTACATCCGTGTCACTGATAAATATACCCAACTAGAAACAATGTAAAGGACAGGCGGTTTATTTGGCTCAGGGTTTTGAGGGATCAGTCCATGGTTGCTTGACCCCGTGCATTTGAATAGAAACCAAAGCTGCAGGAACTTGTGGCAGAGACAAGTTGTTCACAGCATGGTTTGCCAGGAAGCTGACTGAGCATGACTGGCAAAGGCCAGGGATAGCATCCTGCAAGGACTCAGTTCTTTTAGCCTTTAGCCAGGCCTCACCCCACACCGAGAGTCTCCATGGTTAACACCCTTACCTTTCAATCTGTGAGCTATTTTGGTGGGGGTAGGGGATATATACTCCATAAACAAATTATAACATGGCTCCTCAAAGACTGCTTGGCAAAGCTGTCAAACCACATGAACCTACCAGCACGGGCTTCTGTATGCTGTGTATGAAGCCCCTTTCCTACCCAGAGTCCAAGTAATGATGAATAGGGTTTAATTTCAAAATCCGAGGATTAGTATTTAAAAGAAAACTTTTTAACATGCGTTAGTCAGGATGGACTCTGTTATGCAGCAATGACAAAAACTGCCAAGGCCTGTCTTCCTCATGCCTCCTGCCTGCTGCTTGGCTGGCACTCTACTGCACACCTCTGCTGCCCAGAACCTGGGGTGACAGGGCTGCTCTCATATCCAAGGTCTTTTCAGTGGCTAAAACCAGCTCAGAAGTCTTCTCAGAATCCATCCTTCAGGTCCAGCTCAGCACAGACTGTGGATGCTGGGATTGTAATACTACCATTGAGCAGCTGGGGGAGCCAGAGACTCTTGGTGGCTGTGCAGTGATGGCTCTTGGATGGATGAGAGCAAAAAAACGCAAATGGTCTCCCTTTGGGAAGAGAAGTGTGTGTGTGTGTGTGTGTGTGTGTGTGTGTGTGTGTGTACTTACACAGATACCAGAAGAGAGTATTAAATCTCCCGGAGCTAGAGTTACAGGCAGTTATATGCATGTGCATGCACACATATGTGGGTGCATGTGGAGGGCGGTGATCAACCTTGGGTACCATTCTTTAGGTGCTGTCAACCTTGTTTTTGAGACAGAGTCTCTTTGTTGAAATTGGGCATACTGCTTAGGTTAGGCTCTCTGTATGGGATCTCCTGTCTCTCCCTCCCCAGCTTTTTGCACATATTTCCTAGGGGTTAAATATAATCCTTATAATCCCTAGGTTATATTTACTGCTTGATATGTCTTCATGTCTTCATGCTTGATCTACAAGTACTTTTACTGACTGAGCCATCTCTTCAAGGTTGGTGGTGTCTGTTAGTTTCTACAAATGTAAGACAATACCATATTACTTAAATAGTTGCAAATGCAATAAACATAAAACATTTGAGGTACAGTAAGATCATTTGGGGTTAAAGACAACTGCCACTAAACCTGGAAACCTGAATTAAATTCCTGAGACCCTCATGGGGAAGGAGAGGACTGACTTCCAGGAGCTGGCCTCTGACCTCAACACATGTTCTGTGGCACACATGCATCCTCCCATGCCAAATAAACAAAACAAATGAATGGATGTTATAAACACTTGGGAAGCACTAGATTCAGGATCATGGCTGTCTATGGCAGAACTGAAAGGGGCAGCTCTGACTGTATTGTCCAATTCCCTCGAGGAAGAACATTTGAAAGTAAAACTGGCTACATGCTAATCTGAGGGGTGGTGGGGTCCATATTGCTGTCCTATGCCCTTACTGTTTAAAGTCACTAATCATAAAAACAGCTAGGGCATCAGAGCGTGTGTACTGGGCCATGAGCAAGGGGAGCTAGAGAGCGTGTACTGGGCTACCAGCAGGGGGAGCTAGAGGATATGTACTGAGCTACCAGCAGGGGGAGCTAGAGAGTGTATACTGGACCATCAGCAGGAGATCCTGAGGCCACATATTCTTGAGCCACTTGCTTTTTCTTCTCTGCTTGACTAGGTCTTGTCATTCTGGTCATTCTGCCACCCCACCCCACCCCAACTCCTCCATGGCCTGTGCTACACAGATTGAGTCTGACATCAATGGCCAGAAACCAGAGCTGAGTAGGACCTGTGTGGAGGGAATGGGCTCTGAAAACTTCACAGGGTTGGCAGACCACAGAGAGAGCCCCAGAATGTGCAGAAGGAATGGTGTCCAGTGAGCCACCGATCTTCTGCAAGAACTAGTACTCTTAACCATTGAGCCATTTATCCATCCTCTGAAGACATGGTCTTTAAAAAGGATTAAATCACACTGAGGTCATCACGATGGGGCCTAATGTAATTGGCTATGGATCAAGAGGAGTTCAGGACATAGGCACACAGTATGACCATACGAGGACACTGTAAGCCAGGGAGAGGAGCCTTATGAAGAGCCAGCCTCGTGACTCTGCACCCTGGTTGGTGCTTTGTCACAGTGTCCTTAGCTGTTTGGAGCAGGGAACCCAGGTGCATGGGGCATGGCCCAGAAGAAGTCACGGAGATGTCTAGCTGATACTTCCAGCATTCCTATAGAGAGATTGCACCTTTGAGGAACCAGAAAGGACAACAGAAGTGGTCTTTAGTATGGGGACTCTTTCCAGATCTTATGCTGAGGGTACAATACTCAAAATCTTTACTGCCTTTTCAGTGACATTGTCTAGGGGGTTGTCATAGATGCAAGACTGGGTGAATCAGCAACCCATTGGCAATGAGCTAGAAGATGGCAGGGGCAGCCTGGCCACTCTGGCTCCTGGGCCCCTATTGTTACCCCAAAGGCATCAAGGTCCTTGAAGCCATGGATGTGTTGTGAAAGCCTATTGTGTTCATAGCTTTAGCTTGATCCCTGGTCTTTGGGACATCCAGCCAGCTCAGGATGTTTTTCCCACCCACACCTTGCAAATGGAGTTGTGATCAGAACCATGCCCACCTCATGAATCTAGTGGGAATGTCATTTCTCTGTCTCAATCCCAAAGCCAAGCCTGACCCAGACATGTCTTGACAGGCAGGCCCTTTCCACATAGCCTCTTTCTCTCCACAGGCTTTGCTAACATGGCCCAACCAGATGGCTTCTATTGCCCATTGTTGAAAGGTGTTCTTTTGGTGGCATGCCTGGTGGCATCCTCTCATCTCAGGGGCTGTGACCAAGACACAAAATGCTGCTTATTGGTACTTGGCAGTTTCCTGGGTCAGTGAGCCACCTAATTGTCTTCACACTTCCTGTGTGGATGAGGGTGTTTCCTACTAGCCCAGCGACACAGAGAGCGGCTTAGCTGTCATTCTGTACTTGTGATCTTTGCTCTTCGACTTTAGGGGTCTCCAGAGAGCTACAGGGTTCCAAGGTCATCTGACCTTATCCTGGGCTCTGTGCCTTGTTCCCAGGCAAAGGCAGTTGTAATGACAGCCCTTTCTTTCACCGTTGGCTCTGTTGATCTAGCTTCAGCCTCTGGATGGAGGGGTAGGGATAAAGTGGTCAGTTTTGGTCAGCACAGTGCTTCCAACAGCTTTTCCTTCATAGGAGCTGAAGCAGGCTCTGCACGTGGACACTGGGAACTGTGGTCACAGGACAAGTGTGTGGCCAGTCCTGCAGGAGGGAACCTGAGACCAGTTAGGTCAGGTTAACAGGTGGGAGATAGAGCCTTCCTTCTGGCCTCTCTAGATGGCCGTGGTGACCTTCTTGCCTTGCACTGAGCACTGTTAGATACACTGACCCTACACAGGCCACTCTGCTTGTGTGTCATGGCTTCAGCTCAGAGGGACTGTCATTTCAGAGGAAGTCCTAGGGACATTTGGATCACGGCCTAGTCAGCAACCCTATGCTGTCCAGACTGTCCCCACTCTGTGAGGACGGAGGGCCCCAGTGCGAACTGAACTTGAGTCTGCTTGCTGGGACTACACTGTGGTTCTCTTTCATGATGTGCCTTTGAGATCCCTCCCTGATGAGACCAGGTCATGGGTGGCAGGCAGAGGAATATCCTGTACTGGACAGCAACCTCCTGCTGTCCTTGAGGCCAGAGCCCAAGTACAACTCAGATCTAAAACAACAGAACTCAACCAAACTACAGGCCCTCAGAGCTCTGGCCAGGTGCACATGTGTGTGTGTGTGTGTGTGTGTGTGTGTGTGTGTGTGTGTGTATAGGGGTAGTGGGCCACGCTCCAGGCCACAGAAGTTTACCTAAGAACGGAGAGGGCTTCCTGTTCCCACTGCTGTGGCAGTGCCACTGTGAAGACTAGTGATAAGCCAGGTCAGAGTCCAGGGTGCCTGGTTCACTTTTGGATCCCACGAGTCCCTCTCCTGGGGCCAGTCGTGTTCTTTTGACCTGATAGAGGTGAGGCCACCGCTACCATATGACCAAGCCAGGGAAGTGCTAACTCCACAGAGGACCGTGTGGCTGTGTTATCCCAGTGGTACCCTTGCCTGTAGAGGGGGTAGAGAGTCACACGGCCAGATGTGGGTCCCAGGAGCAGCAGCCAAAGAAGTCTGGGAACAGCACATTTCTTTCTTCCCTTGAAAGAAGTGTTCCAAGCTCTTTGACCCAC